AACAGTGATGGGGTGCAGCTCTGCTTCCCCTTGTGCTCCCACAGAGTTCTGGGCTTCAGGATGATACTGAAAAGGACTCCAAATAGTCAAGTTTTTATAGCAGTTGTTACTGAGTGCTAGAAGTTTTCCACAAAAACATTAATATAATGCAGCTCTGCTTCCCTTTGTGCTCCTACAGAGTTCTGGACTTCAGGATGATACTGAAAAGGACTCCAATAGTCAAGTTTTTATAGCAGTTGTTACTGAGTGCTAGAACTTTTCCACAAAAAACATTAATATACTAGAATTCAAGTAAAAAAGAGCAATATGTTTTTAGAATGAGCATTTTTTTGTACTGTACCATGAACTTGGGTAGGAGTGTGTGTGTGCTACAGTTTTCAAATGAAACTTAAAAGACTGGGACCTGGGAACCAAGCTCCCTTAAACTTCACTGAAAACCCTCACCTTGGTGCTTTGAAGAAATAGCTTTTTATTGCATAGTTGTATTTTACCTCAAATTTGTAGAATTTTAGGAGGTTGGGTGTCTGGCTTGAGACCTACCACAAATGAAACTGACCTTATCATAACCTTTAAAAATCCAAACAACCCAACAGTCTATGTGAGAAACTGCCACAACTATTTTGGCAACATTTACCAGTCTAAAAGTCAGCCTTTTAGGGCTGACCTAGCATGAAGAGTGAGCCACATGCCAAGCCATAATTTTCCTCCTCCTTCCAAAACTGCAATTGTCTCATTTTTTTTTAAACCACAACCCCGTGTCTTAAGTCCAGCAGTGAATGTTAACAAAGCCTTGACCTGCAGAGAGCTAATTTCCACGGGGACCATTAAAGAAGAAAAACTTTTCTGTAAATGCCAGATTCTGTAAACTGAGAAGTTCATCACTGCAATACCTAGCGTGGAAAGTGCCAGGAATGGAATCCAGAACCCCTTATTAGAGGGTGAGATTCTGCCTCCAGAGTCAGGTAGCAGAGCGTGGAGACAGCAATTTGAAAGGTTGTAGTTGGGAATGAAAAATCCCATCCTTTGGCATCCTTGCTATTCCTTTGTCTATGGTACTGAATCCTCTGCTAACCTAGGTTCTTGGCCTGTCTCTCAAAGGCTAAGAGGGCTCTCTAATTCATACATAATGCCAGAAGGAACTTCAGTGGCATTGGTCCCCTTTTATTTTGGAATTGCACAGGAAAAGGGAGAGATCCCAAATGCTGCATGAAAAGAAAAAAACTGAGGGCTTTTTTTCCCCAACAGAACACCCCTATCAACAGAATTTTAGTCACATGAAAAGGGACACATTTTTCTCCTCTCTCCCTACCCTGCTACACTCTTTTGCTTACATTCCATCCTCCCAGCTGGTGCAGGAAAGATGATATCCCAGCAGACAGAACTCAGGGAGCAGAAAAGATATTGAAATTTGAATCCAAGTGTGGATTCATCAGGGAAATGGATGCTTTTGCTTCCCTTTCTTTTAGTCCCCCTATGATGTGACGTGGTTCATCTTTCAGCTTCCCAAGCTGCCTCTCCTCAGCTGGAGGCTGCAGCTATTGCTCTCCTGTGCTCTCAGTTACTGAGATCACTGTGTGATGAAGGAGGATGAAGGAGGGTGGTGCATTTCCTTTGGTGAGGACAGAGATTACAGCAGATGGAGGTAGCAGTGAGGTGGTGCTTAACTCTGCTGATGCCAGCTAAAATGGTTAACCTTGGACAATTTGCACACAGAGCCCCAGATACACTGGAGGTTTCCTTTGGAAGGTAGACACCTCCTAATTGCCCACTGTGTAGGACTTACCATGATAATAGATTTGAACATAGTCATAAAACCAGGCTTTACATCCTCTCTAAGTACATTAGGCCCTGTTTTAGACCTAGACAAGTAAGAGCAAGAGAACTTCCTGCAGAACTAATGTTCATTTCAGATCCTCAGCGTTTGGTTTTGAAAACAGAATGCTTTACTTTTTTGACATCTTTGAAGATCCAAAGTCTCCTGATACTTTTGTATCTGGGTTCCTGCCACCACTGCTATTAAATTAAAAGCTTGACATTTGAGGAAATTTAACTTAGAAGCATTTTCACTATTATCTTTGTCTTTAAACTGATATCACAGCATCACAAGCATAATAAAGTAATTAAAGCTTAACTTCTCTTTTTTCAAGAAATAGCAGAGAGGACTTAATGTGAAGTACAGGTAAAAGAGAAAGCCTAAGTAAGGGGCAGGAGTTAACACTTCATTCATTAAAACCTTTTAAATGCTTGGAATTTAATACAGAGAAGTCTCCTTTTCACCATAATTATGTGAAAGACCAGAATAAAACAGAGTTAAATGGGGCAAATATATAAATAAGAGAACCTACAGTTTGTGGTAGCTTTACTTACTATCTTAATTATATATTTCCTTTGAATGTTTCTTTTTTCCCTCCCTGGGACAGATGGAATAAATTAATCTTAAATGCAGCATAAAATCTATTCCAGATCCCCTCATATACCAGTGTTTAAACAAAACTAACTAGAATAATAAAAGTCAGAAATGGAAAAGATCTATTAGCTGACCACCTAAAATTTTATATACAGAAATGTATCAATTTAACTAAACCTATTTCTAAATATTTAAGGAGGTTTGGTTACATCTTAAATCAGTTCAATGGTGGCTAGAGTCAGTTTGTTTCACTTTGAAATCACTCTTAAAAGCAAATAAAAGTGACCTGCTTTTAAGCACAGTTGCACTAGCTAAATAAATGCATGTGTGTAGGCTGAGTCAGAGAGTCAAGCAGGTCTGTCCAATCCTGGTAGCACCACTTTTGTGAGGCCCAGGGCTGTCCGTGGCCATTGCAGTGATGGAGAATAAAATACTTACCAAAAACAGAGCCCTGAGTTGGGAATCAAGAATCGCTGTCTCAGTTTTGCCTCTGTCCAGCCTTGGGGGAATCCCCCAATGACACAGAATATCTGAAAATGTGAATGCCTCCTACCTGAATGTGGTGATTCAGATTTTAGCAAGCTGGGAAGCAGACAAGCACAATGTTTTGTTTCCAGTCCTAAAAGAAATTGTATGAATTTCATTTTGTGAGTAAATTGTTTTGGATGGCAGTTTACCAGTCACAAAGCACAGAGTAGGTTGTTTCCACATGTTCTGAATTACTGTGTAGGTGCCTGCACAGGCTGTTCTGTATGAGCCCCATTAATAGCATATTGTCCAAAGTAGCTTTTAACAGCTTGCTGGGGAGAGAACAGAAGAGGGATTATTAAGGGGGCTTATTCCATACCTAGATCCTTACATTTATGGGAATGTTAATGTGAAATCCTCCACATAAATGAGAAATCATTTATCTGCTTTCAAATTGACATGCATGCAACTAATGCATGCATTCAACCAGACAGTCAAAACAGATCAAATACCAACCTTCCTATACTACAAATTTTTTCCCCAATTCTTGATGAATAGTAGAAGTAGAAAGTTTCCTCTAAAAATCTCTGAAGACACTCAGTGGGTTGACCTTTGATGCTGAGAGGCCACAGGACAGCACACGAGTTCAGTGTCTCTCCAAGCAGGAGCAGATGGGACGTCTCTCCAAGGAGGAGCAGTGGGAATTCACCAGTTTCATAATAAGCACTTTGGGGTTTGGTACCAACTTGTTGCTCCTACAACAAGGCAACACCACCTTGACAGCTCTTCCCAAGGTGTTCTCCTTTCTTTTTATTTCACAAGTCCTACCTACACACAGATTATTTTAGAGAACTGAGACCATGCACTACTGGAGACGACAGTAGCACAAACTACACCCAGCCTGTTAGACAATGCTAAGTGCCACTATTAATTTGTGCTGCCATGTACAGTTTGAGAGACCACTGGCAGGCTTGCAATAAGGGATAGCAGTGCCATGCAATGTAGAGATGGATATAAAAGCACTGGTGGCAAACGAAACCAGTTTAGCATTTCTTACACCAGCAGAAGGTTGGTTTGTGTGGTATATTTTTATGTTCTGGTATACTTATATTTTTCTTTATATATTCTATATATTATGTCTTTAATGTCAAAATTTTCACTATTTTTCTTCTTTCTCGTAAGACAAGGTAAGAAAAACGTATAAGAAAATATTTTTTTATTAAAAAACTTTTTAAATTTTTTTATTATTATTATTTCTGACCACTTTCTCCAAGAGCCTACAGCTGATAGAAATCTGGTGATTGTTGGAGATTTTCCAAAAGAAAATTCAAAATCATCAAAGCATCTTCCACAAAATATTAAAGGAAGAAGCCTCCAGTTATGGGGTAGATTTAATTGTCCCCATGTAATATCTACATTGTGGGGAACACAGAGCACCCCATCCCAGTTTTGTGCTTTGAACCTTTGTACCTGATTCAGAAGAGACAAAGAGCCGAGCTAGCAAATGAATTTTGTCCTCTCCTCTTGTAAAATCTGCCACGGACTGAATGGACTCAGTGGATTAAGGCAAGAGTTTTTTTGATTTTATTTTTTTTTGCTTCTTTTTTTTCTTTTTTTTTTTGTTGGGTTTTTGGGTTTTGTTTGTTTGGTTGGTTTTTTTTGGCTGGGCGAGATGTTGGTTCTCGCATGCATGGATGGATATTTGCATTTCTGTAAGTGATGGCAAAAGAGATTGGTGTTCACTTCCAAATACAATATAAATAGACAACAGGAGCGCACCCACAACTTTTGCCTTCACTCTCACTTTATAGACACTACCACTCAGCTTTCCTACATCAGCATTTCCTCACAAGCAGCATTCAAAGTGCTTCTAACCCTCCTTTTGCATCATTGCAAAAATTCCCATCAGGTTGGAAACCACCCCTTGCCCGTTTCTGTGTGTAATTTCAAAGTCATTGTAGTCGGTGTAATGAACAAGTGCCAGGCAGCACTGAGGGAGGCTGGAGAGAGCCCAGCACAGAGAAAGGCTTCAAATAAAAGGCTGTGACGGCGGATGTTCCAAGACCGGATGGACAGCGAGAACGCGCATCCATCCCCGTTAACTTTCCCCGGACACGGGGCGCTGCACCGCTAGCCGCGGGCACACCGGGGTGTGGCGGTGAAGGCGTGGCGCGCTCCGTGCCCGGCCGTGCCGCGGGCCGGGCGCTCCGCGGGCAGCGGGCGGTGCCTGCCGCGCCGCGGGGCGGGGGCCGGGCCGGGCCCGCTGCTGCTGCTCCCGCTGCTGCCGTTCCCGCTGTCGCTGCTCCCGCTGCCGCACACGGCGGAGGAGCCCCCAGCCCCGCCGCCGCCATGGAGAAGCAGCCCGGCGGCGAGGAGGAGTGCGCGGACTCGGGAGCGGAGACGGGCGGGTGAGTGCGGGCGGCTCCCGGCCGGGCGCTGCACTTGTTGCCGGCAGCGGCGGGGCTGGGGCTGGGGCGGCGGCTTCGTGTCCCGGGCAGAGCTTCCCTCCGGCAGCATCTCGCTCAGCGCCGAGCCTCCCCGCCTTGCCTTTTCTTTCCTGCCCTCCTGGGACCCGGTCCGGCGTGACCCCCGGGGCGGCATCACCCTGCTCCGACTGCCCCGGGGAGCTCGGGTTCCCCTTGGTGGAGCAGTCCCCACCGTCCTCCTGCTAAGCACGGGGAGGAAGACACGGACAGGTCGTGGTTGGGCTTTGAGCTGCAAAGCACGCGGGGATGGCTCGGCGGGGCGGCCCCGCTCGGCTCCGCGGGCTGCAGATGCGCTGGCCGGGGCTTGGTGCCGCCCCAATCCTGAATCCCAGGGATAGTGCGGCTCAGGATAACCTGGGAGCGTGTCCAGGACCTATCCTTTCCTGGCAGTGACACCCAGACATATCAGGCAGAGAGAATTGACTCCTCAGAAGGACCATTGAGAGCTTTCTACAAAAGCAAGTTAGGTTTGCAGGCACCCTGAAAGGGGGTTGCTGTTGCCATGATTCTTGTTGTGATACTCACCATGCTCGCCTGTGAACTGCTGTAAACTTTGTTGGGAGTGTCATCTCAGTCAAGGAGACTTTTTTTCCCCCTGATTTCATGACCATGCTGCCTGAGGTGTGCTGTGTTTGTTAGCTGGGTGACTTCTCCTAAGTTAATGGAGCTGCAAGGATGATCCATGGGATCTCCCACTCAGCTCACACCTTCATCACATCTCTGTGTGAGAGAATGGGAAGTGCTTTCAAGCCTGTCCTACATGCTGCTGCTGTGGGATCTTGTCAGGAATGGCAGTGAGCTTTTGCTTCTCCTGTGGCTCCAGAAGGACAATAGGAGGTTGCATACTCCTGCTAAGGCTGTTCTTTCCCAAGTCTTCCTTCTCCTCACTCCTTGTTCCTCCAGCTGTTTCTCTCCAAGCTCCTTGCCCGGTGCATCTCCTTTGGCCTCTGGTCTGACTCTGGCAAAACTGTAAAGCTAATTCTTTGCACAGTGGTGTCAGGTGCACCACACCAAAACTGAAGTAGCAATATTGCAAATAAAAATCTAAAAGGTGAAAATGGCATATGATAATCTTTTTCATACATCCAGCTAGTAAATCAAATAATTTTTAAATCTCTTTTGTAGTCTGAGAAGTTAAGGACTTTTCCCATCACCTTGTATTGTAGGCACACCTAACAGTAAAAGCTTTAAAATGTTTTATGTGACATGAGTTCAAAGGAAAAAATCCAGCTTCTTTTCCAGATATAGGTTAGTGCCCATTAGGGATGTGGGTAAAAGGAAGACAAAGTAATCAGTGAACTCATGCCTGGTTCAAAGCTCAAAACCCCCTTGATTGGTCAAGTCACTCTTAATTTGCTGTGTTTATCTGGAATGGAAAAACCTGGGTTTCCTTGGGACAGGCACTTGGAAGGATTTGACCCAGCTGGTGACATTAGCCTTTAGACCTCAGGGACCAGCGTGACAGCTGCTTGTTTCTGGTGTTGAGGAGGTGCTAAAGCTGATGATTTTATGAGGTGCCTCTGTCCCATGCGTGACACTGGAAAGTATAGGTTGGTGGAAGAGTCTGTCTGAGGAATTTGAGCAATGACATATGCCGATTAATAACTGCAGTGCTTTGCACTGACGTTTATTTTGAAAAGCAATGGGTCTCTGCATTTCAATTATTATTTTTAGTTTTGTTTAGCAGCCCTTTAATTCTGATAAACACGTTGCGTATGTCTCTTTCACAATGTTTATATTTCAGCTTTCTCACCAAACCAACTGTTCGCAGCACTTGCTTTTCCCTGTTACCAGATCTGCTATTTGCTTTGTCTCAGTCTCATCACAGCTATTGCTAAATTGAACAGGATTCCTTTTTCTCCAGTTACTCAATGGTAGAAAAAATAAAAAATAAAACAAATTAATTAACTATTCAGAGCTTCAGCAATCGTCCTCTGAAAGAATAAGGAGGAACAACTGTCAGAGTGATTCAGTCCCAGTTTTGCATGAAGTGGTCGCTTTCTGTCACTAAGGAAACAATAGTGGATAGTGACTGTAGTAACTCCAGGCACTGCACGCCCTTGTCATCCCAATGATGCTACATAATGATGTGTGAGCTCTTACACGGAGCCTGGGCTGCTGAGGCTGCTTAGAGCAGCTAACAAATTGAACACATCAAGTGCTCCACAGGGCATATGTTGCTTAAGGTTTTGTTGTGGCTGCCAGCTACAAAAGCAGGCAAAACTCTCTGCTAAAGGCAAGATCAATTACAATTCAAACCCTTCATTTTCCTAATCCTTTAGAAAATATGTTCCTCTTACTGCATTTGCCTTGGTAAATAGGCTTGGCAAAGAGTCTGCTGAACAAAAATAGCATATTTGGAGTTCCTGAATCCAATAAGAATGGATTGAGCTGGTGTTGTCAAGTACCTAAATAAAGGGTATAGAACGTATAAGCCAATTAGTTTATATTGGCTGTTTATTAACAAGATTTGAAATAGTTCAACCATCCTTGATCTGAGAGACTTTGCCTATACAAGTTGTATCTTCTCAGGAAACATATTTTGGGAGTTTTTAGTATAAGAACCTTATTTCATCTGCTACTGAAAACTTTTAGTCCAGAAGTATAAGACACAAAGCTTTCTCTGGTAATAGTTTCAGTAGTGGATTTGTGTTATAAAACCTGACATTTTAGGAAGAATAAAATAGTCTGTCTTTTATTAGTAAAAAAAAAAAAACAGAGAGGAAAAACAAGTGGAAGAAAGATTGGAGGGAGGAGAGATGTATAGGTTTACAGAACTGTAGCTGAATAGCAAAAAAAAACCCAAAAAAGTGACAAAAATAGCAGTTACTTAAAACAAATTGTAAAAATAATAATTTTAACATTTTCTTCATTTTACAAGCCATGCAAATGCTGTTATTTCACTGTCTTTGAACAGCAGAGCACAGATGACAAACTAAGATGATTTTGGAAGTTATAGGCATTCCTGATTTTGAGGCAATGATACAGATTGGTTACCACTGGTATCCAGGACAAAGTATCAGGTTAATTCACTGCATTCAGGACTGATATCCCACGTGAATGTGGAAAACCAAGTAGTTTCTCAGATCTAAGCATCAATGTTCTAAACATTTCAACATCCATGATGGTTCCCAGCAGAAGTTAACTTGTTCACTTAGCTGTAAGAGCCCATGTCTTAAAAGCTTCACATTTAATCATTAGCTTACTGATTGCCTCCAAGTTTGGCTAAACATGTAATTTTCCCTCACTTTACAGTCATTTAAAGTTTTGAGAAGTTATAACTTTTAATTTATTTGAATTTGCCATTTACCCACTTGTATTTCAAATAAATTCTTAATCTTTTTAGAGAAAGTGGGGAGACATTGCTGAAGTACCAGGTGGGGAGGTTTTTTCTATAAGTTTAAAATGTAAATATCGACTGGATTAAACAGTAGTTAATTGTTGAGTATTTGATGAATTTTAGGAAGAAGGGTATAGTATTTTTTGGTAGTAGGCAACTGCAATAAATCAGTTCAACAAGATATAGATAAGTCCATTACAAAACAGAGAAACAAGGGATGTTTGAAGTTTATGACATTGTACCGTGCAGCAGCTATTTGTAACATATATTTAGCAAAATCCAGTGCTGTTTGGTTACAATTAATTTTCATGGTGCTTGTTGCCTCCTTTACATTTTCTCTCAAGTTAATTTTTCAGAGATTATGTTCATTTTTGGTGTTCTAAACTTGTTTATTTGTTTTCCTTATGACACTCCCTAGCTAAATGTGTGATCCTGGCCAAATCACAAATTATTTGAACCTCTGTTAACTTATCTCTTAAGCAGATCAAAAAAGCCTTTCTTTGTTGCAATTGAGTAAAAGGTGTGAGGTTCTAAAGCAGAAAATACACTTACTACTAGAAGGTAAGGCAGCCTATATAGATACATATATATAATAAAATTGTACCCCACTTAGAGGTAAAATATCAAGAACACTCTAATCCCTCAGTCAGTGTCCTCAGTCAGAATGGGTCACTTAAATTACCAAATTTTATTGGGGTGAGAGGTTGCTTTCATGTCTCATGTTTCTGGCTTTAAGGAATTCATCACTTAGGACTTTGTATGGCAGTCCTTCAAACTGACACGTTAGTCTCTTGTCACTTATTTCATCCGTCGATGAGAAACTCTCAGGAACACAAACCACTGATGCTGAAAGCTGTTTTAAGGCCTATTTTTACCTTGGGGCTTCTTTTGTTTTGGTTTGGGGTTTTGGGGGTTGTTTTGCTGTGAGATTTTTGCTGGCACTTTCACTTCATGTATAGACCCATCAGTCCAGATATGTCATGATACTCAAATTGTCTCTGATTTGACATTCAGATAATGTGAAGTTGAGCTGTTTGTCACAAACTGGGATCAAGGCACCATTTCCAACCAGATTTACTCAGTGAAGCGAAGCTGTTTGGTTGAACATCAGGGCAGGCAGACCTGAGAGTGCCAGGCACTGAAGCAAGGCACAGACAGCAAGGTTGAAACAGACTTTAGATCACATTCTGGAGGCCATGAGCTCTGTGCTGATGCTGTAATTTTAGGTCCCAGCAAGGAGGTTCACCTCAGCTAAATGTAGCTGTGTGAAGGTTTGATGTTTTGTATAAATAGGCTTCTTCTGTTGTTGATTAAGAGAACCAGGACCTCAGGAGGATAAGTCAGCCCCTGGCCTGGGATGTGTGGATACATGCCACCTGATGTGTCCCTCTGGGAGTGCTCTGTGAGGGAGTGGTGAGCAGGGTGTGTAGCCAAGTGTGCTCACTAAAGTGCAGAGTGGTCCTGCCTCATTAAGTGCTTTTTGGAAGATGACAAACAACTTTTCAAACCTTATACAACAATGGTATCTCTCACGTGGGGTGTCAGACATTGCTGTTGGTAATAAGCTCTGGAGTGTAGTGGT